TGTCACCCCTGTCAATATGCTACCACACAAAGTATATTGATTTCTACTTTTAATGTGGGCTGCATGTAAGGAAGGCTGTCTGCCTTCACAGCCTGTACTTAAATGTATGCAGTTAATATGCTAATGGTTCTATGCTAAAGACTCTGGAACCGAATGCACATCTCGCAAACCGTTAAGGTCGTTTGCGATAAGGTTAGGATAAGTTAAGGTAAGGATAAGGTTAAGGTCGCGATATTGCATGATGCAATATTCATGACGCAACAACGACGCGACGACGCAACGCGTGACGCGGTCCGTCGTAGCCTGACCTTCACTGGCCCACTGTGTTGGAACAAAAGGTTAGAAGGAGGCCTGCCGCGACTGGGGAGCTCACAAGCAAGCACCTGGAACGTAACATTTGGTTTAAGATTGAGGCATGCGCCGTTGTAGACAAACTGTTGTAAGTTATGCCCCTATTAAGGAGACTGTACTGCTCATATCGCCAACTGTGGAAATACCGCTCGAACATGTTCTCGTCTGTGTGGAGTTCTCGGCCTCTGGTTCCCGCCTGTGTGAAGCTCTGAGGTTCTTGTTCTCGTCTGTGTGGAGCTCTGAGACTCTGGTTCTCGTCACTGCACGTCTGACATGACAGGGTATTTGGGATAGTCGATCTCACCCAGTCATGTGTATGAAGCTGCTGTGGTTCAAACAACCAATCTGGCTTACCTTCCATTTGTTGTCTTCCGTCTCAGAGTATAGGCGGTGGCGGCTTCTTAACCAGTCGCCTCATTCGTGATTACTCGTGCTCGCTTTCGTGTCTCAGCGAATTGAATTAAGCATGCGCAGAACCAACTCATCTACAAATGTGGACCGCAATGAAACCGTATTCTGTTTGGGCAAATACAATTTTTAACACTTGAAGATGCAGAAAAGCAAACTTTGCGCTGCAAAGGTGGTTTTTACATACAGTTGTGACATTAATCGCAAATGCACAGCTGGAGTTTGCATATTTCGGGCTTGATTCCGAGCTGGATACGGGTCACAGTTCAGATCGGCAAGCATCGCTGAGCAGACATAGCTACTCCGTCCACACTGAGGAGAACGGCGTGTGCTGACATGAGTACCGCGTCTCCACTGAGGAGAACGACGTATGCTGGCATGGGTAGCCCGTCCCTACTAAGGAGAACGACGTGTGCTGCCATGGGTACCCCATCCCCACCGAGGAGAACAACGTGTGCTGACATGGGTAGCCCGTCCCTACTGAGGAGAAGGACGTGTGCTGACATGGGTACCCCTTCCCCACTGAGGAGAACGACGTGTGCTGACATGCGTACCCCGTCTTCATTGACGAGAATGACGTGTGCTGACGCGGGTAGCCCGTCCCCACTGAGGAGAATGACGTGTGCTGACGCGGGTAGCCCGTCCCCACTGAGGAGAATGACGTGTGCTGATGCGGGTAGCCCGTCCCCACTGAGGAGAATGACGTGTGCTGACGCGGGTAGCCCGTCCCCACTGAGGAGAATGACGTGTGCTGACGCGGGTAGCCCGTCCCCACTGAGGAGAATGACGTGTGCTGATGCGGGTAGCCCGTCCCCACGGAGGAGAACGACGCGTGCTGATGCGGGTAGCCCGTCCCCACGGAGGAGAACGACGCGTGCTGACATGGGTAGCCGTCCTCGGTGGGGAGAACGATGTGTGCGACGTAGGTCATCGCTTCTAAACATTGGCGAATACTTGTCCTTGCGGGAAAGAAGTATTTTAGCAAGTGGAGCCAAAGGTGAGCTCGATGATTCATTGTCACGAATTAATATGTCGAGTTTCGTGACCATGCTGCGACCTTTATTAATAATCAGGTGGTGGTTTTCGTGATAGTGGTTATAAACCTTGTGCTATCCACAGGATTCGCGTCGGGAAAGAAGACTGTGACCCGGTGAACACCTTTACTGGAGAGCTCTATGGACTCACCAACGAAGAGATCATTTGTAAAACTTCCTCTTCATACGCAGGCAAGCGTTTAAGTGTAATTTCATACACAGCATGCTTTAAAATACTTGTAAGATTCAGAAAAGCATTCCACTGCATTGCAGACCCATTGCAATTAATCCCTTAGCGGAATGGGATCACGCGTTCGGCTCATTGTGTGAAGCGTAGTATGAATCGAGTTTGAACTACACATTAACGGAAATGGCAAGCGCACTATGCATTGAGTTACTGGCTGCACAGTGATCTATTATTCACTGACAGGAATATTGCGTCCCTGCCTCAATGAATGACATCCGTGTCGATATCTGCGCATGTTGACATGCCGAAAGGGATGTCAGCGCGTTATTCAGGCCCGCAACTCATAGGTCCGTGCTGTTCACTCCCGTACAACACAGATCGGATGAGATCAGTACAAATGTATGTACGCATACCAATGCGATCAGATAGAGCAAAAGCTCGTTGTCCTTCCGACCATTCATCTCACCCTTCTCTGACCTCATTGATCTTCTGGCTCGTTGTCGCATGCCGTTTTCACTTGAATTCAAATTCCAAGACGTTAGAATGTGTAATAACACATGTCTAATCGAGCGTCTCATCACCGGAATTTGCCATCTGCCATAGCATCTTCTGAGGATTTCATTCACATGTTCCTCGAATCAACCTCTAGTAAACTGAGAGGATGGACGGCTGTCGTAGGCTGGTCCAGCCCTTGTGGCTGTAGAACCCGGAACATCCAACCTACGGCACCTTTCTGCGTGAATTAATCAGCTGATGTGGTAATGTGGAACGCGCGCAAACACGAACAGCGGTTTGAATGTGGAATCTTGACGTACCGGTTTTTCGCTTTTATTGTACATTTGATGACATTAGTAGATCTTGCATGGCGGCTAGATGTAGCACTCGATAACCATAGCGTTCT